TGTTTCTCTCTTGTTTAAAAGACTTTTGTCTTGTGTAGTGGCTGGCTTCTGGTTTTTCCAAGAAAATTACCAAAAAAAGAAATTTTTTAGGAAATTTAGGATCAGCGGAAAGAGTTTTTACTATTATTATGTATGATTTGAAACTATTTCTATAATATAGAAATTTAATTAATAATACTATATTAAAATTATTCTTTAAATAACTTTTAATTATATATGAAAAATAATTTTTTAATATTTAATATAAAAGAAAAAAATTTTAAATCTTTGTTTGTTTAATTATAAATATCATTTTGTAATTATTGTTACCATTTTTCAATTGTTGAATGATCGAATTTTTAACAAACCTTGAAGTAAAATAGAAAACCATGTGTTAAATATTTATATTTAAAAAATTAAATTTAAAGAATTAAATTTATAAAAAAAACTATTCAAATAATTCAATTAAAATTTCTTAATGTATCGTAACAATCCTTAAAAAGTTTTAATGATTATGGTAAGAATAATATTTATTGCAAGGATAGTAATGTAAAAAGGAACATGTAAAACATATGTATAATCTCGTTTCTCCTATTACAAGTAACACCAATACATTATTGGCCTGACTGCGGGTTAAAAAAAAGTAACATCAATATATTAAGAAATGCCAAAAATATCTTTTATAGTTTAATTAAATTTGAAAACATTAAATGAATGAATGAATAAAATTTAATTAATTTAAAAAGGTTATCTCCTGTGTGTCAATATTATCCTTAAGCGAAATTTTGACACGACCACAAAAGTCCAGATATGGATATCGTTATGGTAATAAATTTTTGCCGTCTATGTATGTTTGAATAGCTGATAATAAGTAAGTTACACATTATAGTGATACTGTATTGCGTGACAAAAGACTTGAGTGCATTGAAATTTCGATTATGCCAGGAAACTGTCCAATAAGAAAAATAAGAAGTTCGCCATTCTTCTAAATAAAAAAAAATTGGCTTAAATTGATTGCGTACGTACATACACTCTGTTTCATGTTGCGCACAGGAAGGAAAGAATATTAACATGATAAAATTTTAGAAGACGCCATATCTCAGAATTTGCACCTAATAAAGTGATGCCTGATGATGACAAGTGAAAATTTTGCATAATTAATGTGATTGTGACATACATTTGACTTTTGTTGCGTGTCTTTGCGGTACGTATCGGAGATAAAAGTCCGTGTCCATATCAAACAATGTAACGGGTGCGTGGTTAATTCAAAAAAAGGATTTTTTTTTTTTTTTTTCAACGTGCTACATGCATGAATTGTTAAATGAGAAGTGGTTTTATAGATAGATGCTCACTTTTTTTTTTTCATTCTTTTGTTTCCGTACTTTTTTTTGCCCTCGTTTTAAATTAACAACTCTTCACATAATAACTAATGAACACTTCAAGTCGGCAATGGTTGCATAAAGCTATCACTGATAATTACATTAGGTTTATTCCTTACGACGCATTATCTCATGAAGATGTTGTGGCGAGAGGTGCTTATGGCGAGATTTCTCGTGCTTTTTGGCCGGAAGGAGAGATGGAGGTGGCATTAAAGGGCTTGCATAATGATTTAACGGAAGATCTTGTTCACGAGGTAGGATGTCGCTCCTATATATCTTTTCTTTATGGTAATCTTTTCTTCTACGTATTCTTAATGTACTGTACGTATTTACGTAGATCAAAATAATTCGTGATTTGGATTTTCACGAAAACATTATTAGATTCTTTGGCATTAGTCACGGTAAATATTCACAGTAGAGTTACTTGTTTACTATTCTTTCCCATAGATTAATAATTATTCTCCAGACCTGGAGAATAACAAATATTATTTCGTGTTACAGTATGCCAATGGTGGGTCCCTGAGAAATTTTCTACGGCAAAGGTTTAATGAACTTAACTGGGAAACAAAAAAAAGGATGGCCGTCGAAATCTCTAATGGACTTAGCGTTATGCATAACAACAATATTGTTCATCGGGATCTCGTAAGTTTAATAATAGTAATAATAATAAAATCGAGTTTCTATTCGAAGTCAATATATTAATTCTCATATTGTATAACGAACAGCATTCCGGGAATGTGTTGATTCATAATAATCAAATGAAGATTAGCGATTTCGGATTATCTAAATACGTGAATATTAGTCCCAGATCCATCATTGGCGGAACTGTTGCATACACAGACCCTCAGTACCTACAAGACAGCAGATTCATACGGGACAAGGCTTCTGATGTCTATAGTTTCGGTGTGTTAATGTGGGAAATTTCTAGTGGTCAGACTCCCTACAGAGGCATGGGGCGAAACGAGATTCATCAACGAGTAATTAACGGATATCGCGAACAACCGGTCAACGGGACCCCACTCGAATATGTAACGATTTACAGACAAGCCTGGGATTCTATTGAGTCCCTACGTCCTTCCATTCAGAATATTCGATTTGCATTGAGTTATATGAACATGACGCCGGTATATAATGACGCGAGGTCTAGCGTCTTACACGACCCCGGTCCTACTTTATCCATCGGAATAAACTCAATAGGTTTGCGTAAATTCTTTTTTCGTAAAAGTAAGTCTTTTGATAAGATTTATTAATACCATAATTCACTTTTAACAGACGAAAGATTTCATGAACTACGAGTAATAGATCCTGAAGATTCAGATATTATGCGTTCAGACGTAAGTAATTTCCTATCATCTTGAATGAGGCGTTTATAATCAGGCATTAATTATCATTTTTGTAACAAAATAAAAGTCATTAACCTGGAGTCCCGGATCAAGAGGTTCGAACAATATCCATTTACCTTTAACATTTACCGTCGGGTTTGACCTCACGTTGAATTTCATAATTTTCTATATAGATACAAACATAACTGTGCCAAACCCGTCCGATGAATCCATATGCGAACCAGCTGCAAAAGGTTCCAGAAATGCAGGGAATAAGGTAATCATAAAGAACATCTCTATCTTTCTCGTTTAAATATAAGTATCGTCTTTTAAAAAACGAACTCCTCTATTTATTTAATAACCAGTACTCTTTGTCTAAGTGCAACGAAACCCTTGACAGATTCATAGATTACTTAGAAAATCATGTGAAGCGCGGTCTTCGAGATGTTCCCGAAAAATGCGCTGCCGCCTTCCATATTTATTATGAAGACACCGAAGGCCTTGAATATCACCTCGAACACGGGGAATCAGGCGATGATGTTTCTCCATTTTTCAACGGCGATCCGTTGGTCGTAATCGCCGCCCAATACTGCACTACTGAGAAAATGGTAGAAATTTTTGAGGTCCTTAAACGCCATAATGCCAATTTTGCGTGTGCTAACGAACTGAGACGTACAGCGTTTCACATTATATATAAAAATAAGTTGATATTTCAGAAAGAAATTTTTAGAATAACTTTAGCGCAACTCTGCGTAAATTTAAAAGGAATATTTAAATTTCTTGTGGAGAACAATTGTAATGTGAATGCCAGGGATTTCCTAGGTCGACCAGTGATTTCGTACTTCATAGCTGCCAAAGAAAAAAGAGATGGATATTCATCAATCATTGCTTTATTGCTAGAATCTGGAGCAAATCCAAATATGACAATAAAAGTACGATCGTCCTTCATTATTCCACCCGACTTCAAGTTACACGAAGAAGACGATGTATTGGATACTTGTTCGCGAAATTCACTATTTCTTGCAATTAAACACAAGTGGAAGGTAGAATTATTTGATTTGTTGCTAAGTTTTGGGGTAAATGAAGAATCATTGGACAATGAAGGGCACAGTATACTATTGTTCGCTTTGTCAGAAAAGAATCATGATGCCATGCGCTGGATACTGGAAAATATACCGAGTGCAAGTACGAAAGAGAGTCTATCTGAGGCAATAAGGAAAACCAAAATTCTGTCTGCGGAACGAAGTTTGTTAAAAAAATGGGATGGAAATGATGGGAAAAAGAATAGGGAAAACGCAAAAAGAAACTACGAACGTAAAAAGAGTATACAACTAAATAGAACTTAAAGATACAAAAAATTTATTTCATTAATCTGATATTCAACAATACGTAGTTAGTGAGTTTATTTGAAAATAACTTTTATAATTGTGTATTCACATTAACAATGCTATTTATAGTAATTACTGTATACAGTATTTATTTATTTGTTCGCCTATATTTTTAAATAGTGTATGATTAAATTTTATTTTTAATTAAATACATTTTAGTTTGTTGTCAAGTTCTAAGTGTAATTTTGAAAGTAATTTATTGCTGAAATAATATTTTTCTACTATAAATATTATTACATATATTTTATTATTACAGATTATTGATTGAAGTTTTAATCAAGCTTAAAACCAAATTATTTTATATTTTTTCTAACTTCTGTTATTATTATTTTAGTGAAGCCTTCACCTAAACATTCTTCTTTTAATATCTCTTTTTTATTTTTTATATTTATAGTTCTTTTTGTTAAATAAAACTTTATAGATTTTTTTGTTTTGTTTTTTTAAAAAATTTATAAATCTTTTTTTATAATATTATTTGTTCATATTTTTTGCTTCAAACTTCTTTTTTGAAGTAATTAAAAATCTTTTTAACAATAAAATGTCTGTTTTTAACTATAGTTATAATTTTTTTTTTTTTTGTATTTTGGGTTATCAACTTTATTTAGTAGATCTTTTTTGATCAGAGCTATATAAAAATTGATTATATTTTAATTTCTTTTAAAGATTTTTCTTATAAACTTTATTATTTATTTTCCTATTCCTTTAATTTCACTTTATTATTTATCAAAGTATTACTATAACTTTTTTTCAAATTTATCATTTTATTTTTATTTTTTTTATTTTTTTTAATAAGTAAAACAAATATACTTTATTAATTTTAGTATAGCACATATTACTTGAATTAATCAACTATTTACCAACTCTTTTTATTTATATATATTCTACATTATATTATTTAAAGCTAATTGATTTATACAATCCCTTATGACTTGTTACTTCTGTTAGGAACTAATATGTCTAAGTTTCATTAGTACCAATATTAAAAATATGAAAAATATTATGTTTTCTTTTGAGTATATTGCTTATTATCTTTGTTATATTGACTGATTATAACTAGTTTTATATTATTTCTCCTTTGATATTTTTGTAATAGCTTTTTTTTTTTCCTTCTTTTTATAAATGTCATGTTGATTTCCATGTTTTATTTTTATTTTATTTTATAGAATTCTTAATATATTATATTTATTTTTCCAATAAGATTTTTTAACTATATTTTTATAAAATAATTTATTGTTTATTACTTTTATATAAATTTGATTTTTTTTTTTTTTTTTTTTTTTTAACCTGCAGTTAAGTCCGTATGGCTTGTCTTTATTGTATATATATCAGATATTTACAAATTATTTTGACTTTCATATACTAACTCACTTGTTATCAAAAAACTATTTCTCTAGATGCAACTTAGGAAATAATATTTCACTCCTTTATTGACTTGGATAAATCCTCTAGCTAATAAAATTATTGCTTACAAGTCATTACTATAAATCATTCTAAATTCTGACTGCAATTAAAAACCAAACTATTTTCTTTTATAACAAATCCAATCCTTAATGATTTCTATATATTTCATTTTTTCCTTTTTTTCAGAGACTTCTTGTTCTGGATCTTCTGCAAGTATGGGTTCTTCTTTCTGTTTTTATATGACCTGCATGATAAATCAACACCCATGTCTTTTGATTCGTTTATTCTTTTCAATAATATTTTGCTTCTTTTCCCAATCTATAACTTTTTTGCAATGACTATTCCATATGTCCTTCTTGAAATTTTTTCTCATTTTATAACAAAGCTTATCAATTATGCTTTGTGTGACTGTCAGGGAAATCTTGAGTTGAACTTTAAGGTAATTCTTCAAAAAAGTAGTTTTGTTCTCTTCTATGTATTCATAAATAGTATTGAAAATACTTCTATCAAATTGCTGAATCCCATTCAACCATTTACTTGTCCAGTTATCTATTACAGGGTAGACTTCTTCTTTGTTTTTGATTTCTTTACTGATATATCGATTGATCTTTTCCTTTGCTTTTCTCCATATATCCTCTCTGATTTCTTTAGTGACTGAACATTCAAACAAGTGTCCTAAAGTTTCTCCTTAAAGTTCACATACTGGATATATTGTTATGGTATAAATATCTGGTTTCCTTTTCTTCAATATCTGTAATACTGAAAGTTCATTATAGGTCAGGTTAGTTAGAAAGTTTTTGTTTTTATTATCTTTGAAAGAGATATTGAAGGTGTTGGATGGATTGAACTGATTTCAGAAGATCAACCAGTCTATAATTTTGTCATTTTGGATTCACAGTTCTTGGATTTTTTTTTATGTTATCCAATCTTTTTCTATCTTTTCTTGTTGAACATCTTGACAAATTCTCTAATATTAATGTCTATCATGTGTTCTCTCCATATGGCTATTATCAAAACTGTCCCTAACTCTGGTAGTTGATGCCAGATTATTGGGTTTTCATGTCTAGCTTGTTTGGCAAGCAGATCTACTTGATTATTGAACTTATCGATTCCATGGGCTTAGACCTTTATAATTTCCAAGGTAAGATTTTTCTTTTTAATTAAATTTTTGATTTTACTCAATAATGGCCAATTAGTAGTCTTTGTTTATCTTCTTATTGATATTTCCACTTGTATACTAATGAACTTTCATGTCTTAACCACAGTATTATAGTTAGAGAATATTGAGACTGTTATATTTTGAGGAGCTGTATATATTGCAGTTAGAATAGTCAATATTTCTGCCCTAATTATTGATAGCCATATTAATGCCCCTGCTGAAAATTGCTTCATATCTTTATTGTTTTTTACTAGGACCCAAGTCAAACCCATTTCAAGCTCACTATCTTTTGTCCCTTTTTTATATGATCCATCAGTGTAGAAAGTAAACTGAGTAGCTATACTTCTTCTATTATCATTCATGACATCTATAAATTTATTTATATGTTTATTTGATTGAATAGCTTGTCTTATTAGCATGGCTTCCCAGTTTTCTACCTAAATTTCTACTTTTGATCCAGACATTAGTGGAGTTCTTACTTGTTGCCTTGTAGCTATATGCCAATCTATAGGGTTGCCAGGTAGAAGGACTTGTTTTCCTTTTCTCAAATTTTCATATTTGTTTAGCTGTGATAGAAGATGGACTTGCAATATACCTACTTCTTTTACTTGGGATAATCTATCTGGTTGGAGTAGAATATGGTTACTAGTAGTGTTGTATGTCAACTGGTATGGAACAAATTGAATTTTGTTGTTCAAGAATGATGTCTTTTCCAATTTGTTTATTGCAGAGCTAGAGCAGGCTGCCTAGTATGTTTTTCTTCTATCTGGATAAGCTGGAAAAGCTTCAGTTTGGATTTTGTAGCCTGTCCAGTCTAGTCTGTACAATGGCTTTCTTGGAAGGTCATGATTCTCTGTCACCTTTTCTCAGACCTTTTTATATCAAGAGGAAATTAGACCTTTGCATTTGTTGAAAAAAATCTGGATTGTTCTCCATTCCTTGAGCATTATCGTAGTTGAATGGATGATTTGATCTAGGAATATGATCTTGTGCTTATGAAGTGATGGAATGGCTTTCTCCTATTCTCTACTATTCTGCAGTATTGACTTAATAGATAAAATACTTCCTGATAATTAAATGTTTTCTTTCATCTTCAACTTTGAAAGGTAATTTGTAATTCTTCGACCAGAATCAATGTTGCAGCTGCCAGGTTTCCTTTGGTCATCTTATATGAGTTCACAGAATTATCTAAAATATTTCCAGATTTCCAACTTTTAATCTGACTCTGTTTCAATTGGATTATAGTAGCCAAACCAGAGACCTCACTGTTGTTAAGCTGACAGAATAGTGCTGATATATGGCTTTCCAACTGTATTTTTCAGATATTTTGAAACCATATATTTGTTTATTATGGATGTAACTATTTGATATTATTCACAGATTAATGCTTTGTTCTTGAAAACCTTTTTGAATATAGTTGTAAGTTCATCATATGTCTTCTTATTCAGGTGTGTATGTTTTATTTTATATTCTATTCTAGGAATCAGTACTCTATTGATAACATAACGAGCATGTTTTTCTGTCAACTTCTTCTTAGA